GCTGCCATCTATGGGGCTGCAAAGAGTAAGACACAACTTAGCGACTAAACAACAACAACATCAAGGTAAACTGAGCAACTGATGACAAAACCCGGTGTCACCAGTGGCAGCAAGAGGTGAAGAAGGCAGGTGTCCCGGCGCATCAGGAGAGGCAGAGGGCTTCTGGCAACACCCACTTTCACTTCTGCCCCAAGTAATCCTGGTTTTTCTGTTTACACAAAATCACTCTGTGACTTTTGCTATATATTTCAGTTAAATTCAATGAGGAAAGGAAAGAAAGCCCTTTCTAGACGAGTATCTATTCCTAACAGGATCTATTCCAGCTGCATGGTATCTGGACGGGGACCTCATCTAATGCATATTTTTTCTCCATCCTAGTGCCGAGCACCTGGGCTGGCTCCTACTAACTCGCTCACTGGATTACCCACATACATCTTTATGAGAACTGCTCTAGTCAAGGCTATGGCTTTTCCAATGGTCATGTATGCATGTGAGAGTTGGACTATAAAGGAAGCTGAGTGTGAAGAATTGATGCTTTTGAACTGTGGTGTTGGAGAAGACTCTTGAGAGTCCCTTGGACTGCAAGGAGATCCAACCAGTCTATCCTGAAGGAGATCAGTCCTGGGTGTTCATTGGAAGGACTGATGCTGAAGCTGAAACTCCAATACTTTGGCCACCTGATGGGAAGACTGACTCATTGGAAAAGACCCTGATGCTGGGAAAGATTAAGGGCAGGAGGAGAAGGGGATGACAGAGGATGAGATGATTGGATGGCATCACCGACTCAATGGACATGAGTTTGAGTAAACTCCGGGAGTTGGTGATGGACAGGGAGGCCTGGCGTCTACGCTTCATGGGGTCTCAAAGAGTCAGACACGACTGAGCGACTGAACTGAACTTACCTTCTCTGCACATTTACATTCCTCTTACTTTGTTTCCTCACTTTCTCTCTCCTGGTTTATTCAAGGAAATTCCTAATGAACTTTAAAATTTTTCCTCTAAGCAATCTTCCATGACATTCTTCTCTATTCTGAGAACTAGATGCAAGTAAGTTTGACTTGCAAATTCTCACTCAGCAGCTGGCTATTCCAGCTGAGGCTCCTACGTTTCTACATTTGCCTTTCTCTCTGAAGGCCCCTAAAGCAGAATAACTTCATGCTTTAAAAATGCAAAGTTTCTCATTTTGAAAGCCCCTGTATTGCAGTTGCCTTTTATGATGATGATCTTACATAAAATGTGTTGGAATTGCATTAAAATAGCCATCTACTGGCATAAACACACTTCAATAAATGCATACAGTAAGTATGCTAGCTTACAGCTTTTCTTCAATGATTTTACATTTTTTATGCATCCTGCAAAGAAATTTACTATTGCATTAAGCTATTTCATTGTTAGGTTTTTGAAAGACACGTCTTGTCTGAATCCTCAGCTATATGCTTTAGTCTTACTATTTATAGCTGGAAAGAAAAATAAAAGTGTTGGTCGTTCAGTCATGTCTGACTCTTTATAACCCCATGGACTGTAGCCCACCAATCTCCTCTGTCCATGGAACTATCCAGGCAAGAATACTAGAGTGGGTTGCTATTTCCTTCTCCAGGGGATCTTCCCGACCCAGGGACCGAACCTGGGTCTCCTCACTGCTGGCAGATTCTTTACTGTTTGAGCCACCAGCAAATATTTATATTCCTATTTATAACTGGAACAGAAATGAAATCAGTGCTTCCAAAATAAAGAGGTCAGCTCATCTGAACTGAGTCTCACAACTTACAGTTGGGGGAAGCCCTCCCAAATGGGGCCAGCCCACCTGAGATGTCTGAAGACACTTGGAGGAAGCTCCTGAGACAGTGTGAGCAGTAACACTCATTCCAGAGCAGTTCTTCCCTACCAGCGGAGGCACTGTCCAGGGCACAGGCGTGAACTTAGGAGGCCGACACACAGCCAGTCACTGACAAACCAGATAAGCTTGCTGAGTCGGTTTGTGGAACATGTTTTCATTTTAGCTGTTCCACATTAGTCAACAGGAGAATTTTAAAGTCATCTGATGAAAAGAGCCAGGATCCCCTTTGCCAACATCCTGCATTGGTGCCCTACTAAACAGCACCTGCGCAGAGGCATCCACATTTCAGAGCTGAGATCTGGGGACAGCTGGCCCCTAGGGGCTGCTCCAGCAAAACTTTTCCTGGGACTTGGTGGCGCCAAGAAGACCTCCGAGGCCTGTGTCATCCCTGACATGGAGCAGAAATCTGTGTCCAAGGCAGACGGTAGAGATGCCGTGTCAGCTGTAAGGGTTCCAGCACATGCAAAACGTGCCTCAGACAAGGTCCCCTTCCAATTACCATGTAGCTGGAGACGCAGGATGTTGGAACACAAGATAAGCAGACACGTGATTACCAGCCCCCTCAGAGCAGCCATTGCATGTGCTCGGAATTCAGCCTTTTCCTCTTTGGAAACCAAACATCACAACAACGCAGTTCAGGTGAGCCAACCAGTGGGCGACAGAGCGGTCACAGGCAGGGCTTCCAAGCTGTCTAAAATCAGCTGCTGTGTAATACTTCAGGGCTACTTTAGTTTAAGGCAGAACCGGAACATTCCCCCAGCATACATTCTCTTTGCTTTCTCTTAGTGGGAAAAGCAAAGCAGATTGGCTTAGGTGCATTTGGAGTCAAAGAATGTCTTGTCGAGAAAAGACTGTGATGATTCAGATGCAAACAAAACTGGTTACAATTGTGGAAAGAAGGGTCTATCAGTTTAGGCTAAAATCCTTAATAGCAGTTGTCTCAGGTAAGGAAGACTAAAGGTAGGCAGTCTCTGCCTAGGAGAAGGCTTCAGGGATCCAGACTTCTTTACTGCTCCTCCATCACCCCCGACATGAAGCTTCCACCTCATTGCTTCCAGATGGCTGCATGGGCTCCATCCATTTTACATAGCAAACTCCAGCACCCTCGTACTTTGCTATACACGGAGATCCATCTGTGGATACTGAGGGGCGACTGTATAATTTTCTACATTAATCAGAATGGGTTGAGTTATGCCTACTTTTCCTATCCTCACATGGTGGAAAGCAGAGAAGGAAACCATGACCCTATGGGAATCAGTACAGATCTGTGGGAGCAACTCCGTATTTGGGAGGCCCTCCCTGACTCTCATAAGGGCACTGACCCCATTTATGAGGGCTCCACCCTCCCCGTCATCTAATCCTAATCTCCTCCCAAAGACTCCGCCTCCTGACACCATCACACGAGGGGTATCACTTCAACATATGATTGCTGGGGGACAAGAACCTCCTCCACCGCACACAAAGAATTTCAATGTGTTCCTTTTCTGTTCTAGAATGGCCTCATGAGAAACAAGGTCTGGGCTCTAAGAGTGTACAACTGCTTTTAGTTCAAGTTTTGTGTCCGTTTGCTAAGTAGAATAAAGATCATTAACCCTTGCTCTTTGCCTTTAGTTTCTACATTAACTACTTCTCTTCCACCTATATTCTGACTAATTTTAAAAAAAAACAAAAAAGAACACTTCTTCTCTTTAATTTCTTCCTGAAACAGCAGGCAGTGACCCGTGCTGCGGGCCTCACCCACACCAGGGCAAACAACATTTGGAAGTTAAACAGCTCCCCACACCCCTCCACACGCCTCCACACCCATTAGTGTGGATTCAGTCCTGAGCAGAAATCTGATAACTGGGTTTGCAGCTCTTTCTTTGAAAGGAAGGTACAAAAAACCCTAAATCTGAAACTTGAAAGTAAGAAAGACTTGAGGATGTCTGCTACTTCAGGCTGCTCGCAAGTCATGTCCCAATATCCTCCTCCTCCTCCAATTCACAGAGTCCCAGTTAGAACTGTCTTCATCAGAGCACGGAGGGCGGCAAACTGACTCCAGAGGCCGTGGTGCGGGCTCTGCTCTGCGTCTAGTCTGGGCAGAAGGGGAAAAGCATTGATGCCTCTGGCAGGGATGGCAGGGGTGGGTGCTGTCCTGATGCCCTTCTACCCCAGACATGGTCTGAGAACAAATAACAGAGCAGCACTCAAGTGGGGGTCTGCATGATATGTTGCTTATGATTTCTGACTTGAGAATGGCAGAATCTGAGACTCTGAAAAAAGTCAAGGGAAAAAGGAGCGTCTCAGAAATAAACTCCCGAGCAGAGAGGTATGAGAGCCGGTGTCTCTAGCAGCCCCCTGGCCTGCTGTTTCTGCCCCAGGGTCCTCCTCTGGGACCCAGGCCCACTCCCCTGCTGTCAGGAGGCCTGGGATCTGGCGGCGTTCCCTTCCTTGTTAGCTGTCAGAGCTGCAGACTCCATCCCTCTGGTTCCCCTCCTGAAAATCACTTGCCGAGTAGACAGCCTTAAGGCTAAACTTTTGTCTTGTAGCTCCCACAAATCTGTATTTATTCCCTTAAGCTTATGTCCTATTATTGGCAAATCACCAAACAAAAAAAAAAGAAAAAAATAGATGAGGGTCAGACATTTGCCATTCTGGAGAAATTCCAGAAGCTGTGAATATCTCAGGGGCCTCCAGCCCCGCCACCCTCACAAGGGACACTGATGCCCTGCCCTTCCGCGTCGCCCCCTCTGTCCCCCACTGCCCACAGCCTCCCCCTCCTCCAGGGACCAGGGTGGCTGATCGAAGATTGACTAGTAGTGGCTACCCAGGTGCTGGAGGCAGAAGTGATGGCACAGGTGCCAACCGATACTCTCACAGAGAATCCACGCTTCCAGGGAATGCTTTAACGCCAGTGAAATGCTTTCTCCATAAAGAAGTCACCTCCGAGTGCTTTCTCACAGGACCGCACAGGGCAGATACACTTTCCTGGGGGCTCAAATGTTAAAGACGAGCACAGGAACTCAGAGGAGAACGGTCCCATAAGGAGGGCTTGGGATTGCTAGCCTCAGGGGCGCGTGCCAACTCAACGGGCCAGAACAAGCCGGGGCACAGAGGGGGAGTTCCGTCCTGCCCCTCCCTGAGCAGGGAGCTCTCAAGCCCCTGTGACATTTCTGCTATTTAGGAGAAGGGGACCCATCTTCTGGAGAAGGCACCCCTGCTTCAGGGCCGCAGCCTGCTGGGCAGAGCTGGGGTGCAGCTCGCGGGGCTGGCCCTCTGCCCAGACCGGTGGTCGCCACGCGGGGACGTGAGAGAGCCCCATGTGGCGAGATCGTCCTAGTTTTCAACAGAAGTTAGGGGTCCAGACTTTAATGGGAGCGCTCCTGATTTATAAGTGTAGGCAACTGTTTCAAATATTTTACAACACCATGTCGACTGGACCCAACATAATAATTAATGGTCACTGAAGCAGAAGGTTGGGAAGGCAGGCCCAGACGGTCCTCACGCTTGAGAAGATGGCTAAGGGGAAAACAATGGGGTTTAGAGGGACAGGCAGACCAAGAAAGTAAAAGGAGGAGGAACCGGCCTCCACACAAGAAAGCAGTCAGAATGTGGGAACTCCCTGCTTATTTTATTTTAGTGCCTTCCACGAAGAAGAGGGCTGGAAATGATGGGCCAGCACAAGAGTGGAGGTTAGCAGCCCTCTGGCCTGGCAAGTTCAGCAGAAGAACTAGTGCATACAGCACAGACCATCATCAGGCACAATTCTCAACGTTTTAGCTCAGCTACTCTACCAATAACCCTGTTAGATGGGTGCTATTATAATTCCCATTTTACAGACGAGTAAACTGAGGCACAAAGAGGTTAAATCACTCGCTCAAGGTCCCTCAGCCGGCAAATGGCAAGCTGGGATTTGAGCCCAGGCCTCCTGGTTCCAGAGTTCTCAGCACTGACTCCCCCTCAGCAGGAGAAAAACATGCAGATAGGACTCTCAGCTTTTGAGGTCACCTGTGAGAATCCTGGAGAAAGGGAGGGAGCCAGAAAACTGCAGAATTCCACTGTATCAACATGCCACGATTTTACTGATGAACATTCAAGCTGTTTGAACTTTTTCTTGTAGTAAAGAACGCTGCTGTGAACATTTGGGTCCATGTCTCTTCGGGCGTGTGAGCAAGAACTGAGCTGGGGTCTACACCGAGGCTCCGTCTTGCTGGGTGGAAGGTGGGGGGTGGGGGGCGGGAAGCCTGCACCCCTCCAGCTTTCCTAGATGTGGCCAGCTGCTCTCCAGAGCCACCCAATCCCACCACACTGCAGTGTGAAAAGGTCCCAGCCTCCGTGTCCTGATGTAATGCGTGAGAAATGGTTTCTCACCATGATTTTTAATTTGCATTTCCCTGCTTGCAAGTGGGGTGGAGCATCTTTGGTATTTAGGCTTCCTCTCCTATCCCCGTGCCCTTGGCCAGTTTTGCTGTTGGGTTTTTATCTTTTACTTACTGATTCTTTGGAGTCTGTGCGTTATCTGGAAAGTACTCCCATGTCAGTGACCCATCAGGGCATGCGGGTTTCCTTCAACTTTCACAAGTGGGAAGGGGATTCTTTTATGAGCTATGGAGCATTGAGTATGATTTAAAACAATGATTCCTAGCAACATCCTAGAACAGATTATTCAGTGGGTGATTTGTGAGCATTTAGAAGTGATGGTTGGGAGGGGCACAGATCACCAAAAACAGGTCACACCAGCCTGTCAGCCTTATGTCGGTAGGTTTCAACTGTCAGTCACCACCATCGGGTGATACCTGTAAATCAGGAGCCACAGAGAGCTTTCACTGAAGCCTGAGACCAGAATTACCACATCCTCACTCTATAGACTGGAAGGGTGAGGCTCCAAGCTCATCAGCAGTGAAGGGACTGAGGCAGAACCGTGGCCTGCAGACCAGGGAAGTGCTGAGGTTTTTCTGCAGGGATTTCAGGAAGGTCTTTAAACTTGACCTTGTCTACTAGTAGAAAAATGAGGCCTGAGTCACTGATATCATATAGGTTCATTACTGTGTCCTGTGGGAATTTTCTGGAGTCCTGCACCTCTGTTCTGAGCTCATTCACCAAGCCCATCAATGTTATTTAAGGGAGCAGAGATGACATGCAGCCGTATTTGTAAAGGGCTTGAAACTGAATTAAATACAAATTCTTAACAGATGGGCCAGTTTGAACCAAATGCAAATTAATGGCAACACAAAGGAAGAGGTCTGTCCAGACCTTCCTCCCCTCCTTGACTTCAAAGGCCCAACCAGGGAGGAGGCAAGAGGGATCCTCCGGAGGGGTCCAAGGCAGGTGGGAGCATCTTGTTGGGGCGGGTGAACCAGAATGAGTCAGAGGCTGAGCCCAAACCCAGGAAGAGTTAACCCTGGCTGAGTCCCAAGGGCAGAACTGTGCCAGAAAGGGCCTCTGAGGCCCAGGGTCAGGATGGGGAGCTGGCGGAGGGGAGCCCAGGATGGTCACCGCCCCAACTCAGGAGCAGCTAGGGCTACCATCAGGGGTGTGAAGGGTGAGGGTCCTGCCTCCCTGAAAGCCACCAGACAACGGACGGCAAGTCTTAGGGGAAAAAGCCTTGACTGCACAGGCGGTGGGTGTTACATCCAGGTGGGAACAGGTCGTGTCCGAGAGGTCACTCACCTGGTGCACCGTCGAAAAGGCCCACAGATCGAGAACAGTGTGGCCATCCCAACTCCAGGCCCGTTGACCCAGGGCTAGAGGGCTGGCTCAGGGTCAGGTTCAAGGAGCACCTGATTCGTGTGGAACGGAAGCGGGCTCGGTGGAAAGGCCCGAGGTGGGAGGGGGCGGCTGCGACCAGAAGTCTCACATTCACTGCAAGCCAAACGAACCAGGAACATTTCTTTCTTTCTTCTTTTTTTTTTTGGAAAAATTTCTAAAATACTCCTTTCAGACAGAGAAAGAGGAAAAAACAATTTTTGAACATGCTATTAGGACAAATGTTTGTTCTTTTCTCCCTCGGATCACAAAAGTGATAAACATTCATTGTCAGTTTTGGAAAACAAAGCAGGAAGAGAACTAAGACTCACACTCCTATCCACAGGAGACTGCTGGTACTGTTTCTGTGTAGAGCCTCCTTCCAGACCTACATACGCTTGGAGACAAACTTTTGTTTGCTTGTTTGTTTGTTTGTTTGCCAAACTGGGGTCATCCTATTTGTTTTGTGACCCAATTTTTGCACTTAACTGCATACTGTCTTCCATTCTCTCCAACCCCATTGTAATGGCCACAGAACTTTCCATTGTATGAACATACCATCCTTTATCTAACAGACCTCTCACTGTCAGACATACATCAATATAAACCTTGACATATAACCCGGACGTTGATCTAGACAAACAAGCCCGACACTTCAGCTCTGCCCTTGAGAAGCCAAGGACCCAGCCCCATGCTCAAGAGGGCCCCGAGGGAGGTCCTGACCCACAGGCCAGCACCCCCTCAGGCCTCACGTCCGGTTCCGGGAGAAGTCCGGGCCTCTGGGCAGCGGTCCCTGACTTGTCCCCCTTCCTCTCTCTCTGGCCCCCGCAATGGGCCGATCGCCCCTCTCACCACATCCCAGCTTCGCTGTGAGTGGCAGATTCACGCCCCCAAGACCTTCCTCTCAGTGTTTCTGCCATCTCTGTGTTGACTGAGACCAGACTGCCCCCTAGGACACTGCTTCCCTGGGAGCCCTCCCCCACTGTCCTTTCCAAGTTATTTCTCTCTCTCTCTTTTTTTTAAAAAAACCACAATTTATTTCAAGGTGTGTCATGCAGTTGCTTCCCTGATGGCCCTACAGTAAAAAATTCGCTGCCAATGCAGGAGACACAGGTTAGATCCATGAGTCAGGAAGATCCCCTGAAGAAGGGACTGGCTACCCACTCCAGTACTCTTGCCTGGAGGATTTCGTGGACAGAGGAGCCTGGTGGGCTACAGTCCCTGGGGTCACAAAGAGCTGGACACGACTGAGCGACTAAACAGCTACAACACACTGGGGCGTCACGACCGCCTCTCCTTTCTGTCTTTACTGACCTCTGACGTCCCCCTCTTCATGAGTGATTCTAGCTCTGACTCAGTAACTGCCCGTCAGCTTTCACCCTGTCTTCATCCTCAGCGACTTTTACAGCCACGCTGAGGCGCCAGCCAGCACCATAGGGACCAAGTCCTCTGCTAGTTTCCCGGGGCTGCTGTGATGAGTTAAACACAAACTGATCCTCTCACAGTTCCAGAAACCAGAGTCCCCAGTCAAGGTACGGACAGGGCCACAGTCTCCCCAAGACTCTAGGGAGGACCTTCCTTCCCCGTCCAGGCTCTGGCGGCTCCTGTGTTCTGCGGCTGTAATCATGCATCTGTCTCTTCACATGGCTCCACCTGTGTGTCCATCGCCTCTTTTCTAAGGCGATGCTCATCTCTTTTCTAAGCCATTCTCTTGTGACAAAAGCCCAACCCTGACTGATTTAAATGTTGACCTTCTACCTGCCTACCTTTTCACTGGAAAAGACCCTGATGCTGGGAAAGATTGAGGACAGGAGGAGAAAGGGACGACAGAGGATGAGATGGTTGGATGGCATCACCAACTCAACGGACAGGAGTTTGAGCAAACTCCACGAGATGGTGAAGGACAGGAAGGCCTAGCGTGCTGCAGTCAGTAGGGTCACAAAGAGTCAGGCTTGACTGAGCAACTAAACAACAACCTGCCTGTTCTTGAGCAACTGACCCTGGCAGGAAAAACAATCACACAATCCACCAAGCTGGTTGTTTTCACTGTAAATTCATGACCCCACACCTCGCATGGGCATGACTTGGCTGCCCTGTCAGTTTTCATAGAGTCCACTTTCCCCAGGAGATGGGAGCACACTATTCTCTCTCCAAGGCTCCCATATGATCTCCTGTCCCACCTTCAATGTCAGCTCATGACCTGCTTCATCCTTAGCTGTCAGATAGGGCCCAGTTCTCCTCCCATCCCCAACTCTGCAAGTGTACCCACGACACCTGTCTCCCACCTGTCAAGGCCACCCCTTCGCCTGAACTCACCTCAGAGTGGAAACTCACAGAGTTCAGAGTCTGTGACCTGAGCCCAAAACAGTGCCCAACATGCATCAACGCCGAATGCTTGCTGAATGAAGGGGGTCGTCCTTCCTGCATTCTCTCTTTCTCTTGTACCATCAATCTCTTCTCTACTAGATCCTTCTCACTAACATGCAGATGTGGACTCTCCTTGAGTCCACAAGCCCTCAGCTTTGCCCCTTTCTCTGTTCCCCTTCATAGCAAACCTTCTCCACCAATGTCTACAACATACTGTTACCTCTACTTCATCACCAACCATTAAGCAGGTAGGTCTTCAGTCCTCTTCAGTCTGGATTCTGGCCCCATTACTCCCTCAAAACTCCTCTCATCGAGGTCATCAGTGATTCCCATGTCGTCAAATCCAGCTTCATCTAATATAACCAGTCCTGGGAGGGACAAACACAGCTGCCCACCTCCTTTCCTTGAATCACTCTCGTCTCCTGTTGTGTGCTAAGTCGCTTCAGTCGTGTCCGACTCTTTGCGACCCTATGGACACCAGGCTCCTCTGTCCATGGGATTCTCCAGGCAAGAATATGGAGTGGGTTGCCATCCCCTTTTCCAAGTGATCCTCTTTACCCAGGGATCAAACCTGCGTCTCCTAGGTCTCCTGCATTGGCAGGCAAGTTCTTTACCACTCGCGCCACCTGGGAAGCCCCCCCATCTCTGGTTGGCCTGATCCAGTAGCCTTCAGTGCTTGCTCATATCCCACCAGACACTTCTTATCAGTCTCCTTCTCCTGGTCACTCTCTCCCTGATCTCTACATATACCTCCTCATTTGTGTCTATGTGTTCCTTTTTCTAGATATTTTCATCCATGGCTTGAAACCCCATCCATTTACTGATAACATCCAAATTTATTCCTTCATTTGAATACACCTAACGTCCAGACCCTTATATTCATCCAAGTACCAGTTTAGTACTTCCTTCAGATACTTCAGTGGCATCTCAAACTTGACATTTCCTAAATGATATCCTTGATTCCCACCCCTCTATCCAACCTATCTCCTCCATCAGGCTCCAGATAATGGTGCCACCATCATGCTACTGTAGCTCAGGCCCAACAACTAGCATCATCCTTGTGGGAACGTTTCTGGAGCTAAGATCTGAGAACAGGAAATACCGAGTCAGAGTCTTTACAGCACTTCTTAAATGAGTAGAGATCTTTGGCTTGTATTCATCACGAATAACAAATGAGGCTTTGAAGCTCCTGACTTTCTCATCTCTGGGGTGAGTTATGGGGATTGTTTTTTAAATAGGTAGTTTCCTTTACCTGGGGGCTCCCCTGGTGGCTCAGATGGTGAAGAATCTGCCTGCAATGCAGGAGACCTGAATTCCTTGCCTGGGTTACCCACTCCAGTATTCTTGCCTGGAGAATTCCATGGAGAGTGGAGCCTGGTGGACTACAACCCATGGGGTCAGAAAGAGTCAGACACAACTGATGACTAACACTTTCCCTTTTTTCACTTTTTCTTTACCTGGAACTCTTCCTGTCTCTGAAGCACTGGTTGAATTCACTAGGGTTCTTAGAGGTAAATGATGGACACCAAATCAGCTGACTCAAGTAGGAAAAAAAAAGAACTGAAAGGAGCCTGGGTAGCCTATGCAGAGGCACAAAAAGGAATGGAAACTATGGGAACATAGGGCCCACAGCAGAACTCAGTCAGCATCATGCCCTAGGTCCTGGTTGTGGCCATTCTGCCCAACCACCCTCTGGACACGTCACAGCGCTGCTGCCATCACGGTCATTGCCTGAAAACCAGGCCGCTCACCCCTGACACTTTGCTTCACTAACTCAAGTGTCCAAGCCCCAGGTAGACGGATCTGCCTGGCCCAGCATGGGTCGTTGCCCATGCCCTGGCTTCCCAGTTGCTGGGTTTCCCATATGGGTCATCTCAACAGCCTCCCCCAAAACTCAACAACCTCCAAGGTGCCCGATGCCACCGGCCACAGTGGCTGGTTACAGACCCTGTCTGAGTCTTTGGAGAGGAAGTGTGACTCGGAGGGTGGAGGATGTGTCACGTAAGGCTTAGTTTATGTCATTTTGGAGTTCTGGCCACCCATCTGTCCTTCTCTCTGTCTGTCTGTCCATCCTGCTGGCAAGTTCTGCCTTTGGGGTGTCAGTGGCCATCTTCATGCTCATGCTGGGCGTCTCCTACAGTGTAATAACAATGAACAGGCTGCCGATATTCTGTCCCTTTTTTATCAGAGAGGCTGAGAGCACTTTGCAAACCTGAATAAGGGGTGAGAAGGCAGTGCCCCGCTGTGGATAAATCAGCAGGAACTTTCTCAGCCAGCTTCTTCCTGTCTTCTCTCTCCGGCCATCAAGAAGAGGAGGCGGGGACCAGACTCCTGTCTTTCAAGCATTATCTTACCACACGACCGCCACTCTGGCACTTACAGTGGAAACTTGCCGCTTCCATTTCTAACTAGGTATATAATCTACTTTCATTTTGGCGACTGTTCAGTACTTTTTTTTCCACGAGGCTGGATGATGAGCCTTGCCCTGGTTTCTAAGGTCTCATGTTCACCAGCAGCAAGCCAGGCCTCCTTTTATTCCGTTTTTTTCCAAAGAAGAAGAAAGCAAGCAGGTACTTAGCAAATGTGGCCAAAAGGCTGAAGCTGTTGTCCTGTAGGCCACGGCCCCAGCAACGTCGTGGCCCGTAGAAATAACCCATCCCCATGCCCACCCCCCACCCTGACCCCACGAGTGTCTTTCGCAGCAGAGCCAAGGAAACTCCATTTTTGGTAAGTTCACAGATGACAGCGGTGCGCTGTTCCGTGAAAGCCACGCCTGGACTAGCAGTGGGACAGGATGGGAAGTCTCAGGCCCGGGCCCATACACTTCCGGGTTAACTGATGATAAAACGATGCACAACGAAGGAGCCCTCGCTGAGGGCATTTCCCATCTATTTCACAAGTATCTGGTCCTCAGTTATAATGGGGAAAATCTGTGCCAGAACATATTCAGACAATTCTTCATTTCAAAACTGCATTAGCCTCACTGTTTTTTCTGTCTTCTAAAATAAGGGAGCCAGATAGATGGAGACAGAGAGTCTTCTATTCCAATTTCTTGCAATTTATCAAGTGGATGGATTTAGCCATGAATGCTTCCTAGACACTGTTCAAAAAAGTTTTCAGACACACACACACAAAAGTCACAGAAAATAATTTAACAGATACCTACATGCACAACATTAGTACTGCACACATTTTAACGTTTTGCAATATTTCCTTCACACATTTTTGGAAGGAAAGAAATTTTGATAGATACAACTGGAGTCCTCACTACCTCCCATTTATCTCCTTTCCTTCCTTCCTCCCCAGAAGTTATGACTCGTAAACTTGTATCTGTCCTTCACCTATGGTTTTATGATTTTGATATATATATATTGTTGTTTAGAGTATTTATTTATATACCACACTATTTGGTGTTTCTAGTCCTTTTTTCTTTCCAAGCTTTATTTAAATTATTTTGGCCACGCCATGTGGCATGTGGAATTTTATTTCCCTGATCAAAGTTGAATCTGAGCCCCATGTAGTAGAAGCTCGAAGTTTTAGCCACTGGAATTCTGGGAAAGTCCCGTCTGTTCCTTTTTAGGTACAAAAGCCTCTTGAACCTTTTTTTTTGTTTCACATGAGTCTTTCCAAATATATCTACATTAATACGTCTGTTTGGTTCATTGTATCAGATAGATGGCATTCCAGTGTATGCATATTGCCACAATTTACCCAGCCACCCCCAGGGATTGATATTTTCCATTTTCCGTTCCTGCTGTTTCAATGAGAACAAGTTGCTCACGCCTGAAGTGGTGTCTTTTACACTCCCACCAGTGCAGGCTGAGGTTTCTGATCTCCCCACATCCCTGCCAATATTTGGTTTTAACATCTTTAACATTTTTGAAAATTCAGTAGGGTATGAAATGCTAGGGCCTCGTTAAGTTAATTTATGGTTTTTTTCCATTACCAATGAGGTAGAGCTTCTCCCCCATTTTTTAATGACCAGAAATATTTCCTCTTCTGCAAATTGTTAATTCCATACCCTTTGCTCATTTTTCTGTTGAATTGCTTGTCTATTTCTTACTGAATTGTAGGATTCTTTGTTTTTCTGGATTCAAGCTTCATTGGTTATGTGCATTTTCCCAATCTGTGACTTAGAATTTGAAATCTGTTTGTCAGAGGAAAATGTGAGCCTCTGTCTGGGCCCTAGCATCCTGCTGGTCAAGGAACGATTTTTATAGTAATTTTTAACTTAAAATCCCCTCATCCTGCAGATAGTGTGAAACTGAGTTCACATCTACACTGGACACAAGCTTGGGATTTTGATTTCTCATAAGAGACTTTAAAAAAATCTCCCTTTATATCTGGAGAAAAACATAATCCAAAAAGATGTAAGCACCCTTATGTTCATTGCAGCACTACTTACAATAGTCAAGACATGGAAGCAACCTTAGTGTCCATCAACAGATGAATGGATAAAGAAGATGGGGGTGCATGTATACAATGGAATATTACTCAGCCATAAAAAGAATGAAATAAATGCCATTTCTAGCAACATGGATGGACCTAGAGATTATCATACTAAATGAAGTTAGACAGGGAAAGACAAATATCATATATCACTCATATTGGAATCTAACCAAAAAAAATGATGCAAATGAACTTATTTACAAAATGGAAATAGACTTACAGATATCAAAAACAAGCTTAAGTTTACCAAAGGGGAAACTTGGGATGAACATACATACACACACTACTAAATATAAGATAGACAACCAATTAGGGTCAACTTACAGAACAGGGACCTCTCCTCAGTATTCTGTATAACTTATGTTGTTGTTCTTTAGTTATGTCCGACTCTTTTGTGATCCCATGGACTGCAGTCGGCCAGGCTCCTCTGTCCATGGGATTTCTGGCAAGGATACTGGAGTGGGTTGCCATTTCCTTCTCCAGGGGATCTTCCTGACCCAGGGATCAGGCCCATGTCTACTGCAAGTCTCCCGCATTGCAGGAGGATTCTTTACCACTGAGCACCAAGGAAGCCCCGTGACAACCTGTATGAGAAAAGAACCTGACAAAGAATGAACGTGTGTATGTATATATTGGAACATTTTGCTGTACATCTGAAACTAACACAACATTGTAAATCAATGCACTCCAATAAAATCGAAGGTAAAAACGATCTGCCCAGGCACATACGGTTCCTTGCCCTTACCAGGGATACTGAGTTGTTCTAGTTTCTATACAGAGGCTGCCCTCCAGGGCTCCCATTTAATGCTGGGTCCCAGTAATCTTGTGCATACCTACACATGGCTCTTATCCCTGTTTGAGTATCAAGCCCTCCAACCCTGAGGGTTTGACATCCCCTGGCCCTTTGGCCAAAGTACTGGAGTTTCAGCTTCAGCATTAGTCTTTCCAATGAACACCCATGACTGATCTCCTCTAGGATGGACCGGTTGGATCTCCTTGCAGTCCAAGGGACTCTCAAGAGTCTTTTCCAACACCACAGTTCAAAAGCATCAATTCTTCGGCACTGGATGCAATCTCAAAAATGACAGAATAATCTCTGTTCATTTCCAAGGCAAACCATTCAATATCATGGTAATCCAAGTCTATGCCCCAACCAGTAATGCTGAAGAAGCTGAAGTTGAATGGTTCTATGAAGACCTACAAGACTTTCTAGAACTAACACCCAAAAAAGATGTCCTTTTCATTATAGGGGACTGGAATGCAAATTTGGCCTTGGAGTACAGAATGAAGCATGGCAAAGGCTAATAGATTTTTGCCAAGAGAACATATCAACTATAATAGGTGCTATAAACAAGAAGGGAACTTGGCGCTGGAGCTCGATCGGTGAGTGAGCTAGAAATAGGAGAGTCGGACACGACTGAACGACTGTAACTGACTGACTGACTGACTGCATTTCAGACTCTCTTGTTGACTATGATGGCTACTCCATTTCTTCTAAGGGATTCCTGCCCACAGTAGAGTTTAACTAGCATTTCCATGAGTTCTAGTTTTAGGGGATGACAGAGGTGTACCGGTGTTGGCCTGTATCAGTTCATAAGAACCAATGGCTAAATTTTTAGGAATTGTATGAGCCAGTTGCTAAACACAGCCATTATTTTTTTTTCCATTTATTTTTATTAGTTGGAGGCTAATTACTTACAATATTGTAGTGGTTTTTGTCATACATTGACATGAATCAGCCATGGCTTTACATGTATTCCCCATCCCGATCCCCCCTTTCACCTCCCTCTCCACCAGATTCCTCTGGGTCTTCCCAGTGCATCAGGCCCGAGCACTTGTCTCATGCATCCAACCTGGGCTGGTGATCTGTTTCACCCTAGATAATATACATGTTTTGATGCTGTTCTCTCGAAACATCCCACCCTTGCTTTCTCCCACAGAGTCCAAAATTCTGTTCTGTACATCTGTGTCTCTTTTTCTGTTTTGCATATAGGGTTATCGTTACCATCTTTCTATATTCCATATATATGCGTTAGTATACTGTATTGGTCTTTATCTTTCTGGCTTACTTCACTCTGTATGATGGGCTCCAGTTTCATCCATCTCATTAGAACTGATTCAAATGAATTCTTTTTAATGGCTAAACACAGCCATTATTAAAAACTAAATTATAGAAAGTGAAAAGTGAAAGTGAAGTCGCTCAGTTGTGTCCAACTCTTTTCAATCCCATGGACTGTAGCCTACCACACTCCTCCATCCATGGGATTTTCCAGGCAAGAGTACTGGAGTGGGTTGCCATAGAAACCCACAATTAAATACATTATAATAAAACATAGGTGATAAAAACTCAAAACTTGTCACTTGCAAATGATTGGACTACACTTTCACTGTTCTCTATGCTCTTGCTGTCATTTTCATCTACTGCATCTGTGTCAGAGTTCTGTGTGATGAACATCTTAGCAGTTCTTCGCAATTCTGCATTCAGTGACCTCACAGTGATAGCTTGAAACTGGCTGCAGTGGGAGTACCTATTACATCATAGAAACCTGTGAATACCACAAATCAGGGCTTGATTTATCATTTATTAATCATCTAGTTCAAAGGTTGACAGACTTGTTCTGTAAAGGGCCAGATAGTAAATATTTTCAGCGTTGTGGTCCACATGGTTTCTGTTGCAACTATTCACCTCTGCTCTTGTAGTGCAAAAGCAGCCACAGCTACCATGGGAACAAATTCATGTGGCTGTTTTCCAATAAAACTTTATTTGCAAAACAGGTTTCAAGCCAGATTTGGCCCACTGGCCATAGTCTGTCAATCCCTGGTCTAGAGCTAAGAGTGTTAGTCTCTCAGTCATGTCCAACTCTTTGTGATTACACGGTCTGCCCCTGGAATTCTCCAGGCAAGAATACTAGAGTGGGTTGCCATTCCCTTCTCCAGGGGACCTACCTGACTCAGGGATGGAAGCCAGGTCTCCTGCATTACAGGAAGATTCTCTACTATCTGAGCTACCAGGGAAACCCTAGAACCAAGAAGGTGATGAGAAAATGTTAATAATGCAGATTAAACTTAAAAATATGTCAAATCTAGTGCTGAGGCTGAAACAGGTTTCACTTTGATCAATATAATCTGCATAAGCAAGAGAAATAGTTCAACAGTGAGTCACATACCAAATGTTATAACAATAAATCTATCAGGAAATGAGTTAGCAGATTAAAATGCAACCCCATTTGTCAAATCATGGTTGGGCGGCAAACAGAGATTGGCTGAAGGTAAAATTGGATTGCAAAACTCAACAAGCATGTTCTGGGAGAGACAGGAGGTGACATGAA